TGTTACTGAGTGCTAGAAGTTTTCCATAAAAATATTAATATACTAGAATTCAAGTAAAAAAGAGCAATATGCTTATAAAATGCATACTTGCTGTACTGTACCATGAATTTTGGTAGGAGTGTGTGCATGCTATGGTTTTCAAATGAAACTTAAAAGAGTGGGACGTGGGAACCAAGCTCCCTTAAGCTTCACTGAAAACTCTTGTCTCAGTGTTTTGAAGAAACAGCTTTTTATTGCATAGTTGTATTTTACCTCAAAATTGTAGAATTTTAGGAGGTTGGGTGTCTGGCTTGAGACCTACCACAAATGAAACTGACCTCATCATAACCCTTCAAAATCCCAATAACCCAACAGTCTGTGTGAGAAACTGCCACAAATATTTTGGCAGCATTTACCAGTCTGAAAGTCAGGGTTGCTAGGGCTGACCTAGCATGAAGACTGAACCACATGTCAAGCCATAATTCTCTTCCTCCTTCCAAAACTGCAATTGTCTCAGTTTTTTAAACCACAACCCAGTGTCTTAAGTCCAGTAGTGAATGTTAACAAAGCCTTGACCTGCAGAGTGCTAATTTCCACTGGGATCATTAAAGGAAGAAACCTTTTCTATAAATGCCGGATTCTGTAAATTGGGAAATTCATCACTGCAGCATCCAGAATAGGCTAAAAAGTGCCACGAATGGAATCTAGAACCCTTTATCAGAGATGAGATTCTGCCTCCAGAGTCAGGTAACAGAGGGTGGAGACAGTACAGTTTGAAAAGTTTTAGTTGGGAATGAAAAATCCCATCCATAGACTTTGTCTATGGTACTGAATCCTCTGATAAGCTACATTCTTGGTCTGTCTCTCAAAACTAAGAGGAATCTCTAATTTATAGCATGATACCAGAAGGAACTGCAGTGGCATTTATCCCGTCTTTTTGGAATTGCACAGAAAAAGGTAGAGATCCCAAATGCTGCATGAAAAGAACAGAATTCAGTGCTTTTTTTTCCCCAACAGAGTGCCCTTATCACCAGAATTTCAGTTACACAAAAATAGGAATATTTTTCTCCTCTCTCCCTACCTTACTACACTCTTTCTCTCACATTCCATCTTCAGGCTGGTGCAGGAAAGATGATACCCCAGCAGATAGAACTCAGGGAGCAGAAAAGGTATTGAAATTTGAATCCAAGTGTAGATTCATCAGGGAAATGGATGCTTTTGCTTCCTCTTCTGTTTTAGCCCACGTATGATCTGATGCGGTTCATATTTCAGCTTTCCAATCTGCCTTTCTTCGGCTCGAGGCTGCAGCTATCACTCTCCTGCACTGTGTTCTCGGTTACTGAGACCATTATGTGATGGATGAGGAGGAGGTTCTGTTGCCTGTATTTGCTTCTGCAAGGACAGAGATTACAGTAGCTGGAGGTTGCAGTTGGATGATGCTTGACTTTGCTGATACAAATTAAAATGGTTAACCTTGTGCATTTTATACATACAGCACCAGATACATTGGAAGTTTCCTCTGAAAGGTAGATATCTCTTTATCAGGCACTGTGTAGGACTTACCACGTAACAGATTTGAACACAGTCATAAAAATTGTCTTTACATCCTCTTTTAAGTACCTTAAGTCCTATTTTAGATCTGAGTCTAGGTAACTAGGAATAAGAAAGCTGCCTGCAGAACTAGCATTAATTTCATGTCCTCAGCGTTTGGTTTTGGCAACAGAGCGCTTTATTTTTTTGGCATCTTTGAAGATGTCTCCTGATACTTTTCTGTCTGAGTTCCTGTGACCACTGCTGCTAAATAAAAGGCTTGAAATTTGCAGAAATTTAACCTAGAAATGTTTTCATAATTATCTTTGTCTTTAAACTGACATCACAGTTTCATAAGTATAAGAAAGTAATTAAAACTTAACTTTTTTTTCTTTCAAGAAACCCTACAGAGGAACTAATGTGAAGTACAGGTAACAGAGAAAACCTAAATAAGGGCCAGGACTTAACACCTCATTCATTAAAATCTCTGAAATGCTTGGAATTTAATGCAGAGAAGTCTCCTTTTCACCATAATTATGTGAAAGACCAGAATAAAACAGAGTTAAATGGGGCAAATATATAAATAAGAGAACCTACACTTTGTGGTAACTTTACTTACTATCTTAATTATATATTTCCTTTGAATGTTTCTTTTTTCCCTATCTGGGACAGATGGAATAAATTAATCTTAAATGCAGCAAAAAATCTATTCCAGATCCCGTCATATGCCAGTGTTTAAACATAACTAACTAGAATAATAAAAGTCAGAGATGGAAAAGATCTATTAGCTGACCACCTAAAATTTTATATACAGAAATGTATCAATTTAACTAAACCTATTTCTAAATATTTAAGGAAGTATGGTTACATCTTAAATCAGCTCAATGGTGGCTACAGTCAGTTTATTTCACTTTGAAATCACTCGTAAAAGCAAATGGAAGTGACCTGTTCTTAAGCATAGTTGCACTAGCTAAATAAATGCATGTGTGTAGACTAAGGATCAGAGAGACAGCCAGGTCTGCCCAATTCTGGTAACAGAGACTATCACATACCTTCTTGGGGGGGGCTCAGAGTCGTCCATGGCCATTGCAGTGATGGAGAACAAAATGTCTACTCAAAATAGAGGCCCAAGTTGGGAATCAAAATATACTGACTTGTTGTCTCAGTTTTGCCTCTCTCTAGCCTTGGAGAAATCTCTTAATGACACACTAGCTCTGAAAACACATTAATGCCTCCTACCTGAATATGATTATTCAAATACTAGCAAGATGCCGTACCAGACAGGCACGGCATTTTGGCCGCAGTCCTAAAAGAAATTGTATGAATTTAATTCTGTGAGTAAATCGTTCTTGATGGCAGTTTACCATTCACGAAGGATAGAAGAGTTTGTTTCCATATGTTCTGAATTACTGTGTAGGTGCCTGTACAGGACTATACTGCATGAGCTCTATTATAGTCTACTCTCCAAACTAGCATTTAACAACTTGCTGGGGGGAGGATGGAAGAGGAGTTGTAATTAAGGGGTCTTATTCCATACCTAAAGCTTTATATTTATGGGAACGTTAATGTGAAATCCTCCACATAAAATGAGAAATCATTTATCTCCTTTCAAAATGACATGCATGCAAACCTAACCAGACAGTCAAACCAGATCAAATACCAACTTTCCTATGTTATGATTTTTTTTCTAAATCTTCATGAACTTCAGTAGAGGCTGAAAGTTTCCTCTGAAGATCTCTGGAGGCACACAATGGTCTGACCTTCTGTGATGCTGAGAGGCTACAAGACAGCACACGAGTTCAGTGTCTCTCCTAATAAGGCAGTGGGAATTCACTAGTTTTATAAAAAGCATTTTGGAGTTTACTACTCATTTGTTGTTCCTATAATATGCCCACAACACCTTGACTGCTCTTCCCAAGGTGTTTTCTTTTTCTTTGATTTTACAATGGTCCTTCTTATATCTAGATTATTTTAGAGAACTTGGACCATACTCTATTACAGACAACAGTAGCATGAACCACACCCAGGCTGTTAAACAATGCTAGATGTCACTATTTGTGCTACTGCATACAACTTGACAGGTCAATGGCAAGCTTGAAATGAGGGGAGGGATATCAATGCCATGCAATGTAGAGATACATATAAAAGTACCGGTAGCAAACTAAACCAGTTTAGCACTTCTTATGCCAACGAAAGATTGTTTTGTGTGGTATATTTTTATATTCTGATCAATTTTATATCTTAAATGTTGAGATTTTCACTAGTTTTCTTCCTTCTTGTAAGACACAAATAATAAAAAGTAGAAGAAAAATCTTTTTATTCAAAAACTTTTTATTCATTTTTTTAACTTCTGATCACTTTCTGCAAGTGGCCATCTCCTGCAGCTGCTAGAAATTTGGTAGTTGTTAGATATTTTTGAAGAGAAAATTCCAATTCATCACAGCATTTTCCACAACACATTAATGGAAGAGGTTTCCAGTTGTGGGGTAGATTTAATTATCCCACAATATCTAGATTGTAGGGAGCACAGAGCACCCCATGCCAGTTTTGTGCTGGAAGCTGATTCAGAAGAGACAGAGAGCCGGTATCCCAGCTTGGAGAGACAAGGTAACAAATCAGTTCTACCACCTCCTCTTGTAAAATCTGCCACAGTCTGAATGAGCAGATTAAGGGAAGACTGATTTATTTTTTTTTTAGCTGAGCAAGATCTTGGTTCACACTTACATGGGTGGATATTTGTATTTATGCAAGTGATGGAGAAAGAGAGGTGTTCATCTCCAAATACAAAACAAGCAGGCATGTACGACATAAACAGAATATGGGAGCTCAACCACAACTTTTCCCTGCATTCTCATGTTATTGACAATACCAGTCAGCTGTCCTTACATCAGCATTTCTTCACAGGCAGCATTCAAAATGCTCCTTTTGCACCATTACAGAAACTCTGTGATTTGAAAACCATCCCCTGCCCAGTTTTGTGTGTAATTTCAAAATTATTGTATTCAATGTAATGAGCAAGTGCCAGGCAGCACTGAAGGAGGGAGACTGGAGAAAGCTCAGCACAGTGAAAGATTTCAAATTAAAAGGCTGTAACAGCGAAATGTTCCAAAACCGGACGGGTAGTGAGGACGTCGGTACGCCCAACAGACTCTCTGAACTTGCGCTGAATATGGGGCACCGCACCTTTAGCCCACCTTCCAACTGGAAACGCGAAAGTGATAGAGTGGAGGTGCTGAAGTAGTTTCTGAAATACGAGCCCCTAAACCCCGTGTCCACGCGTGGATGAAAGGTCTTCTCTGCGGACCGGGAGTGCTTCGAGGGGAGCGAGCGAGGCGGGCGCTGCCTTCCCCTCGGAGCGGGTGGCGGGAGGGCGGTGGCAGCGGGGCGGGGAAGGGGAGGCCGGGCCGGAGGAGCGGCCCCGAGCCCCGGGCGGGCCGGCCTGTGGCGGCGGCGGGCGCTGCCTTTCACACTCGGCGAGCGGCGGCGGCAGAGGCGGTCGCGGCAGCCGCCGCTCCCAGCGGGAGGGCAGGCTGGAGCCCTCTCCACCGTGCCGCCGCCGCCATGGAGAAACAGCCCGGCGGCGAGGACGACTGCGTGGACTCGGGAGCGGAGACGGGCGGGTGAGTCGCACCTGCCCCCGGCCCGGGGGCGCGGCGGGGCTCCCGCGCAGGCCGCGGGGCTGCACTTGTTGCGGGCGGCCGCCGCTGAACGCGTCCCGGCAGCGGCGGGGCTGGGGCGGCGAATTCCAGTGCCCGGCGCGGCTGCCCCCCTACAGCGGGGGCCTGCGCCCCTGCACCATCTCCTCGCCTCCCTTCCCCTCCCTTCCCCTCCCGGGGCTGGGGGTCGGCTGTGACCCCGCGGGGAGCGCGCCTGCCGCGGGGCATCACGCTGCTGGGGCAGCCCCGGGGAGTTCGCATACCCTTTCGGTGGAGGTCCCCACCGCCCTCTTGCTACACATGGGGAGGAAGACGCAAAGAGATCGTGGCCGTGGGCTTTAAGCTTGAGCTCCAAAGCACGTTGTGCTGCCTCAGTTGTGAGGCCCAGCGGGCTGTAGACACACTGGTTAGGGCTTGATGCCCCACCATCCCTGTATCCTAGGGATAGTGCGGCTGGAAGCATGCCCAGGTACCTGTACTGTTCTTCAGGCGGTGACACCCAGACAGCATCAGGCAAAGAGAGCTGACTCCTTAGAAGGACCATTAGAGAGCCACCTGAAAAGCAAGTTAGATTTGTAGGCTTCCTGAAATTGAGTTGCTTCTGTCATGATACTCATCATGATACTTGTCATGATACTCATAATTTTGAGTAAACTTTGCTTATAGTGTCATATCAGAATCAAGGAGAAAGACTTTTTTTCTGACTTCATGACCCTACTGCCAGAGGTGTGCTATGTTTGTTAGTTGGATTGCTTCTCCTAAGTTCATGGAGCTGCAAGTGTGATCCGTGGCGTCTGCTATTCAGCTTGCACCTTCAGCCCATCTCTGCTGGAGAGAGAGGAAAGTGCTTTCCAGCCCGTCCTACATGCTGCTGCCATGGCATCTTGTCAGGAATGGCAACAAGCCTTTGCTCCTTCTCTGTCTCCAGATGAGCAAAAGAAGGTTGCATGCTCCTGTTAAGGTTGTTCTTTCCCGAGTCTTCATTCTCCTCCCTTCTTGCTCTCCCAGTTGTTATTCTCCAACTTCTTGTCTCATGTATCTCCCTTGGCCTCTAATCTAACTGTTGCAAAACTGTAAAGCTAATTCTCTATACAGTGGTATCAGGAGCACAGTACTAAAACCGAAGTAGCAATATTACAAATAAAAAACAAAAAGGTGAAAATTGAATGTGGTAATTTTTTTCATATATCCAGTTATTACTTCAAATTCTTTTTTAATCTCTTATGTAGTCTAAGGACTTTTTCCATAACTTTGTATTGTGGGCACACCTAATGATGAAAGTCATGTGACATGAACTTAAAGGAAAAAATCCAGGCCAATTTTCCAAATATTGATTAGTCTCCTTTGGGGAACCTGGTTAAAAGGAAGACAAAGTAATCAGTGAACTCTCGGCCAGTTCAAAGCTCAAAAAACCCTTATGGGTCAAGTCACTCTTAATTTGCTGTGTTTACCTTTAATAGAAAAACCTCGGTTTCCTTGGGACAGGCACTTGGAAGGATTTGACCCAGCTGGTAACATTAGCCTTTAGACCTCAGTGGCCAGCATGACAGCTGCTTGTGCCTGGCGTTGATGAGATGCTAAAGCTGATGATTTTATGAAGCATCTCTCTCCCATGCTTGACATTGGAAACTGGAGGTTGGTGTTAGAGTCTGTCTGAGGAATTTGAACAGGGACATATGGCAATTAATAATTGCAGTGTTTTGCGCTGATGTTTATTTTGAAAAGCAGTGGGTCTCTGCATTTCAATTATTATTTTTAGTTCTGTTTAGCAGCTATTTAACTCTGATAAACACATTGCGTATGTCTCTTTCACAATGTTTATATTTCAGCTTTCTCACCAAACCAACTGTTCACAACACTTGCTTTTCCCTCTTACCAGAAGATCTGCTATTTGCTTTGTCTCAGTCCCCTCACAGCTATTGCTAAATTGAGGTCTTTTCCTTTTTCTCCAGTTACTCAATGGTTAAAAAAAAAGTAACTGTTTTGAAGTTCAGCTATCATGCTCTGAAAGTATAAGGAGAAACAACTGTCAGAGTAATTCAGTAACAGTTTTATGTCGAGTGGTCCCTTTCTGTCACTCGGGGAACAATAGTGGATAGTGACTCTAGTAAATCCAGGCACTGCAAGCCCTTGTCATCTCAATGGTTGTGTGTAATGATGTGTGAGCTCTAATATAGAGCCTGTGCTGCTGAAGCTGCTTACAGCAGCTACCAAATTGAACATATCAAGTACTCCACAGGGCATATGTTGCTTGAGGTTTTGTTGTGGCTGCCAGCCACAAAAGCAGGCAAAACTCTGTGCTAAAGGCAAGATTAATTACAATTTGAAGACTTCATTTTCCTCATCCGTTGGAAAATACGTTCCTCCTACTGCATTTGCCTTGGTAAATAGGGTTGGCAAAGAGTCTAATGAACAAAAATAGCATAATTTCAGTTCCTGAATCCAATAAGAATGGATTGAGCTGGTGTTGTCAAGTACCTAAATAAAGGGTGTAGAACATATAAGCCAATTAGTTTATATTGGCTATTTATTAATGAGATTTGAAATTGTTTGTCCATCCTTGGCCTGAGAGACTCTGCATGTACAAATTGTATCTTCTTGGGAAATGTATTTTTGAGGGGATTTAGTATAAAAACCTAATTTCATCTGCTACTGAAAACTTGTAGCCCCAAAGTATGGGGGATAGAGCTTTCTCTGGTAATAATTTTAGTAGTGGATTTGTATTATAAAACATGACATTTTAGGAATATTAGAATAGTCTTTCTTTGGACTTGTATTAGAAAGTGAACAGGGAAGAAAAACAAGTGGAAGAAAGACGTTAAAGAGAAATATGTAAGTTTACAGAATTGTAGTTAACTGGGAAAGAAAACCAAACAAACGAGGAAAAAAATACTGAGTTACTTAAAATTAATTGTAGAAATCTGAATTTTAAAATTTTCTTCATTTTACAAGCCATGCAAATGCAGTCATTTCACTCTTTAGAAAAGAGCAAAGGGGTTTGAGGGCTAAAACACCCAAGACAACAAACTAAGACAATTTTTGAAGTTGTTAGGTGTGGCTAATTTTGAAGCAGATTCTTGCTACCACTAATATCGAGCGCAAAGCATCTGCTGAATTCACTGTATTCAGGACTGATATCCCAAGTGATGCATAATGAATATAGAAAATGGGTATTTTCTCAGTTCTAAAGTTCTTAATTTTTTATTCCTGAACTTTTATTGGCTTGTGTTAATTGTGTTCAAGGATTGCTTCTATAGGAATGCTCTCTCCTGTTTATCAAGCATACATGCATTAACTGAGCATAACACTTCAGTAAGATAGCTGACATTAATGAAGATTTCAGCATATGTGACAATTCCCAGCAGAAATTTACTTGTTCACTTAAACAGCTGTAAGAGCCTAGGCCTTAAAAGGTTCACACTTTAATCATTAGCTTACTTATTGTCTCAAATTTTGCCTAAATACATAGGTTTTTTTCTTCACTTTAAAGTCATTTAAATTTTTCAGAAGTTGTAACTTTTAATTTATTTGAATTTGCAATTTTCCACTTATATTTCCATTACTCTTTGGTTACAGCTAATACTCATGGTGCTTGTTCCCTCCTTTAGGTTTTCTTCTGTGTTTCTATTCCTCAAATTAATTTTGCAGAGATTATGTTAATTTTTTGACTGTGCTATATTTGTTTGTTGGTTTTCCTTATGGCTCTCACTAGCTGTATGTGTGATCCTGGCCAAATTGCAAATTATTTGAACCTCTGTTAGCTTATCTCTTAAGCAGATTTTAAAAATCCTTTATTTGTTGCAGCTCTCTAAAATGTGTGAGATTCTAAAGCAGAAAATACAATTGTTAATAGAAGATAAGGAAGCCTATTAAAAAAAAAGGTGTTCCTTACTTAAAGGTAAAATACTAAGAATACTGTATTGTGTGTCCTCAGTCAGAATGGGTTGATAAATTATCAAATGAATAGTGGAATGGTTGGGATGAGAGGTTGTTTTCATGTCTCGTGTTTCTAGCTTAAGGGGATTCAACATTATGACTTTGTCATGTGTATAGTGGTCCTTCAAAATGACATGTCAGTCTCTTGTCACATATTTCATCCATCTATGAGAAACTCTCAGGAACACAAACCAAGGCCCCTTTTTTTTCAAGGCCTATTTTTACCTTGGGGCTTCTTTTGTTTTTTGCTGAGACTTTCACTTTATGTAGACACATCAGTCTAGATATGTCATGGTACTGAACTTGTCTCTGATTTGACATTGGAATAATGTAAAGTTGAGCTGCTTGTCACAAATTGTGTTTGAAGCACCATTTCTAACCAGATTTACTCACTGGAGTGAGGCTGTTTGGTTGAACCTCAGGGCAGGCATACCTGCTAGTGCCTGGCACTGGGGCTAGACTCTGAAAGCAAGGTTGAAACAGACTTTAAATCACATTCTGGTGGCCATGGGCTCTGTGCTGACACCCCTGATGGCTAGGTCCCAGCAAGCAGTGAGGTTCACTGCAGCGGTGTGTATGTTTGATGTTTGGTATAAATTAGGCTTCTTCTGTTGCTAATTAAGAGAACAAGGACTTCGGGAAGATGACCGAGCCTGGCTTTGCATATGTAGATACATGACACCTGATCTGTCCCTCTGAGAATACTCTGTGAATGGGTGGTGAGCAGAGTGTGTAGGCAGGTGTGTTCACTAAAGCACAGAGTGGTCCTGCCTCATCAGATGCTTTTTGGAAGATTACAAACAACCTTTCATTCTTATATGATAATGATGGTGATGTCTCTCTTGTGGAGTCACAAACATTACTGCTGGTAATAAGCTCCTGAGTGTAATGGTTAGACCTGCATGATGGGAATCCGTCATCTGACTTTATCATTCTACTAGAATTCTAGAGCAAGGATTTTGAGACAAGTGGTTCTGAGTTATTCCATTTCAGTCATCTTGATTACACGAGTAGAAGTACAATGAAGGTAAGAGATTTGCATTGGACTGGTATTAGTGAAGCAGATTGTAATCCAACCTACAGGAATTTGGTGAGAAGAAACCCAAGGCAGAGCTACAACGTCAAATCTTCTAACTTGTGCACAGGGCTTTAACTGCTATTAAATACTCCCATATACCCTCTGGAGTACTTTGTGAGGAGGGAAGGCAAAGAAGCTGTTAAATATAGCTCTTAATATGTAACAGTGAAATCTGCAACAACTCTATGTAGAGAAGACATGGGAAACGTGAATCCAGCAGATGCCGTTCCATCAGTCCTAGGCAAGTGAAGGATGCAGACAGCAGAAGAGTTGTAAACTTTCCACTATTTTATTTTGGAGGGGTAGGATTAGGAGCCCTGCTAATGGAGACCATGGGCATATTGGGGTGTAGTATTATGTTAGAATTACTTGAGATCTGTTTGTTTTACACAGCAAACTGCCTTGTGGAAATGCTGCATGGTTCAGAAACCTTAGTTCCAGCCAGTGCATTAAACAGCATGTAGGGATGTCCCTGAGCACCAGGACAGAATTGTCCATATTGTTGAATACTTAAAAGGGTTGATGGCATCAGTTTGGATGGGCCCATCTAGCTCTCTCCCATATCATTCCTGGGTGTGTTTTACCATGGGCCAGGGACTTGTTTTGCCACGTTACCGTGGTTCAGGGATCGTTCCCAGCAGGCCACTCACCAGTATGTTTTGGGAGGCAAGAGGTTTTAATGGTACAGGTGCAGACTGTTTCGTGGCAGTTGGCCTTGGTCCCAGACAGTTCTCTTGGGAATATTTGTTTATTAACATAGCTGTCAGTGCTGTATGTCTTAACGTGATGCTGTGCCACAGCTGATCAGTGTGCCAAAGAAACACAAGCACAGAGCAATGCTGACGTAGCTACATTGCTTGTGTGATTCAGAGCTGTAATATAGCCATGTTTCTTACCCAAAGAAACAGTGTTACTGTACTCAATAACTGCAAGCTGCACTAGCAGCTACTTACTGGTATTCCCTGAGATGTTTCCCTCTCTTGGGTATTTTCTCTGTATCACAAATCAGCAATGAGCAGTGCACGTACATCTCAGAGGATTGCTGGGGATCTTTTGTGCTCCTGATGCTATTACCCTCTCTGATAGCACATAGTTGTCATCTTTCAATGGCACTAATGGGAATCGAGGTCCCACCTTTATCTCAAGCTTCTACATTCCTATTTTAGTGTCTTTTGACATCTTCACAGCTCCTCTTTGCTGGTGGACTGCTCATTGAGGACAAATTCTTTGCTGACTGGTGTGTTTTTTGACTGATCAATGAGCCTTCCTTTTCACTACCTCACACTGTTTCAATACCCTTTTTGATAATTTTTATTTTTCTCATTATGTGCCTATAAAAGGAATAGTCCTCTGTTTGTTCAGTTTCTGTCCTGAATGTCTCTTTCCTTTTATTTATAATCTAACATCTCTCAGAGGAAATAGCTTGCTGCAAGACCATATAATTAGCCTGGAACCTCTGAGCCCCAGTATGGCCCCCATCTGTCACCATTAAAGACCATGAGTGTTTTACTCTTTAAGTTATCCTAATGGGAAATTCCTCTTCCAAGGGAACTGATAGAAGCTGATACTTGGGATGTTTAAGCAGGAATGCAAAGAACAGGAAGGAACATAGTTTGATGTCCAGAGAGCCTATATGCCCCAGGTTTTAGACATGTGATAAAGGGTCCTACATTAGGAATGCTGGTTTTGTCGCCTTCTTCACTAGACACAGCTAGGGAGACACACTTCAGACCTCTCCTTTTATTGACAATAGAGGTAGCTTAGTGAGGGTGCAGTCCTCATTTCAGTGTCTGAGGCTGACGTGTGCCTTTGAGCTTAATTATCCTTTTTTTTTTAATTATGTGTATGTCAGTTATGCAACAAGCATGAATTAAATATTAGGTTGAACAATATTAGAATTACAAAAAAAAAAATTCTAAAGCCTATTAAAATGTGTCTGTGCAATTAGTCTCCAAGCACACTATTGTCTCCTCCTTTCTCACTCCCCATCTTTTTATTTTTCCTCTTGTCTCATTTTTCAAGACCTTCATGTAAGGACTGCTTCTCCCTCAGTTCAGGACTCATTAGTTCTCCATGTCCTATAATGTGCCTGCAGCACTTTGGGATAATAAAATAACAGTGTGAAGTAATAGAATGCTGCTACTACTTGCAATAAGCAAAAGGCAAAATGTTGTCTCGCTTCTATCTGAAATACAAGCAGTGCAGGCTCATTTTGAATTAGCTGCCAACTGCTGAACACAGATACATTGAAGGACAGCCCCAGGCTGTTTTGAAACAGAAGTGCAGAGTAAATGAATCCTTGCTTGGGATGCTTGGAGGCAGCTGGATGCATATTGCTTGCCTCTAGGCTTATGAGGAGTGACATGTTACACAGTTTTCACACCCTTCCAAATATACATGGTGCCAAATGACACTGACGTGACTTGCTGCTGAAAATACTATGCAGTTTTATGGCCTGCATAGCACCTTAGCCAGCTCCTGGGATCACTTCCCCTTGGCCCCTGCCCAGCGCTGGACCAGTGATGTGTGTACGTTGCCCAGCAGTAGGAAGAAGCAGGTCTCCTCTGCTCATGTTGATGTGTTAAAAAGATAAATTACTTGTTAGTAGAATTGGCTTGTTAAGCATTGAGACTTGACATGCTTCAGTGATATCCAACCTAGGGGAAGGTTAGCAAAGCTTGGGGAGAGGGATTTACTGCTGATAGTGGGCACAAAGAATGCAGAATTTGTGGGCCACAAGGACATTTAGCAGAACTCCCAAGATAAGGAAGAAACTAACAAAGCCAACTCAGCAACTGTGAAGAAATGAGGAGATTGTGAGCAGCAACTCACAGCCCACTGAGTCAAGAAACCCACCTGAGCATGTGGACTAATTAGCATGAGATGTGAGAGAATCATTAACCAATAGAAGGTAGAATACTAATCAATAAGAGAACTCTGTGACTTGTAGCCAATGAACAGTGATTTCTTTGTTTACTACTATGTATAAACGGTGTAAAGTTTTGATGATTGGGAAGCCAGCCCATTGCGGGTTACCACCAGCTGCTACTTTGTGCAAATGAGAAGAAATGGAAATACCTTGTCTTCGTGTGTAAATTGGTGCTGTGCACCAGGCAGCGAGCCTACATTTGGGACAACAATGTTATTACTGCCTCTGCCTTTCTCAGCTACACCGGAGGCTATTGGTTGAGGGATGGCACTTTATTCATGGAGGAGGTGCTGTGTAACAGGTATTCATGGGTGACTGATAGTGGCTACTAATGGCCTAATCCTGTGGTCTCTGCCAGTGTGGCAAAGATGTTTGCTTGCTCCCTGGCATTATCACAGTGGCTGGGGGTACAGGATTAGCAAAGGAGAGTGAGTGAGGGAGAGCTGCAAGCCCCCATCAGCAACTCTCTCCCCAGCATTGCCCATATCTTTTCTGAAAGTTAGGATAACCTCATGGTACTTGATGTTATTAGTGGATCTTTTTTCTTGAGTATTGTGGAAAATTCAGATTGTGTCATCTTTCACTGATCCAGCAGGCTTGGCAAAAAGATTTGGTCTTGTGATCTTTCTCACTCAAACCACCAGTCTTGGCATCTGATCTGCAGAATACTGAGTGCTAAGCACAGAGCTGTGAAATATGGGGATGACTGTAAATTGCTTTGTTTCTTCTGCAGAGATGTGTCCATATTAAAATCAAAAACAGATACTATAGCTATGTGGGATTGATTGTCCTTTATTCTCTTGGATGCCTGAGAGCCTAGAGCATGAAGGTATCCTGAGAATATGCTTAGATGGTATCCACTTCCGCAGAAATATCTTAGGAGTCAAGGCTCATATGATTTCGTTAACTTAAAGAAATGTTGCAAACTTGATGCAACTATTATATAAAAACAAGCATTTAGGTTTGAATCCAAGAACTGTGTTACAGCTCCCCGAGCACTTTAACTGTTGTTTTCAGGGCACCACAGGGCATAAGTGTGAAATGTTAATTGTGGCAGAGTGCTCTGGAGAGTGGGGTCTGTTTTGAGGACACAGCAACTGGGAGGGTGGAGGCTGTGTGACTGTGAACTCCAAGCCGAAACACCCAGAAGTCGTAGGTAGGGTCTCAGAAGTGGAGTTTTTTTATTAATTTTTTTAGTATTCAGTGATGGTGTATTTTATTTACCTTTAGTGTTTCTGAATCTTCAGGACATAAATGGGCTATGCCTTAATCAGCCCAGAATGGGGTTTTCAGGAGATTGGGGTTATTGCAGCTGAAAAATTAATTACACTATTGCTCAAAATACTTAACTGCTCTAACTTTATCATAGGTAATCCAGTATGCACTGAACTAGAACCAATGGTTGCATAGTTTTATTGAGAGATGTCTTGAGGAGGAAAATGGTTTCCTAAAGCAAAAAGCTTTGTCATCTAAATGTTTGTATTTTAGCACTTCTTTTTTTTCTCTTCCCTACCATTTGGGACCAAAGAACTATAAAATTCTGCTCTTCAAATTGAGTTCTCTTAAAAAAAAATGAAAAAAAAAGTCTACAAAGGAGCATTTAGAGATCGTAAAGCAAGAAAGGTGAGGAGCTGAGTCAAAGTCTAGTAAGATTTCTAGTCCTGACCTGTGTCTGAATCAGACTATTTTTTCCTTGTAGAGAGCCTTCTGAGCTTTAATTTTAACACCTAAAGTTAGGTAGCATGAATGCCCTAGATAAAACCCTAGTTGCTCTCCTCACTTTGCTTACATGTCAAAATTCATGTGAGATGCCAGTTTTTCTGAGTCAGTGTTCATAACTTGTTCCAGTTATTCTCTCAGCACAAAAATAATGCTAAATGGGCATTAAACTGTTTTAATATACAGTGTCTGTTACGTTTGGTAATTTTTTGATGATCTCTTTTCAGAGTAATAAATTCTAACTAAAATCACTGTCTTGCAGGTCTGAGTACAGCCGTATGTCCTCTACCAGCAGTGAGTATAACTTTGATTATTTTTTTTTAAACAGATTCTTGTATTTTCTATGTTTCTGCTTGCTTCATATTTATTAACATCAACCTGATGTTATTGATGGAGTTCATTTTGACGCAGTAAAGCCCCCATTCCTCCTCTTCTTGGATATATGTCTAGAAACAGCATAGAAAATTAAATTGATTAAATATTTATGACCAAAATATAAGCTGTGGGCAAAGTCATAAATATTGAACCTCACAAGTATACAAGACAAAATGAGAATAAAACCTGTAGACACTGTTGCCAGTATGAATGGGCCCTTCATCCAAAGGAGTTTGCAGTGATGAATGTCATTAGAGCTGGGGAATGCAGGAATAATTGAATTATTGTAAGCTTAATGCCAGTGAAACACTTCAGAGCAAGTTTTTCTTTGATTTCAAAGATGGTAGATGCTCCAATAAGTGTCCCAGTCTTTCTAGGTATTTACAATAGCCAGTTGAATTTCAAGTTACCTAACTGATAAAAGACGAATTCTGGTGTCTGGATTATTTTTTATTTATTTTTCACCAATGCAAAATGACAATTTTATTTTTTTTTTGGAAGAACAAGGAGCACTTTTTCAGTTCTCTTTCTAGTCACTCCAACCACTTCTTTAGTTGCAGGAACATACTGCATCCTCAGCACTTTGAAACGCAATAATTCTTATTCATGTATGGCTACTAGTATCTCTCTCTTGTCAAAGTGCAAAGTGATGCCTGTCTCCCTGGTTCACACATAGACATGAGCTTTATTTATGCCAAGCAAGCACATCAAAAATTCATAGATGACAAATTGTGTTTTGTAATCTGGACCTTTAGGAACCATGAAAATCGGAGGGCAAGAAAGCTGTCAGTTTTTTCTCATTCACACATTCTGACTGAAGCGTGGAGAGGGTTATTTTCTATCTCCCATGGTCTTCAGTGAGGGAGTTTTATTGATTGCAACAGGAGCTGGATCAGACAGTTTTTGTACTGTCTGGCTCATGAGCCCATGTGACTAGCAGGGAACTTGCTGTATTTCCTCCATCTGCTCAGTGTGTGTGTGTGTGTGTGAGAAAAATAGAATTTAGTGCAGCTTTTTCCTAAATTCTGTTATTTAAATAGATTTCTGGATTCCCACTGTCAGACATAATTTTTGAAATGACTGGGAGGCAAAATCCAGGCAAGCAACTTCTCATGATAGTAAAAACATGTTGGATTTGACTGGTTACACCAGATGTGTGCCCTAGCACTTCCTCAGCTCACAATTCCGGGTATTGGGTTGGGGAATATGCTGCCAACTTCCTCATCTTTTTGGATGGTGACTCAATTATTTGCCTAGTAGAGACAGGTAAATTCAGAAGACAGCTTGTAAGTAGAGTGTTTCTCATCTAAAAATTTGGTTTGGATCCCTTACCAACTTTGCATGACTGCTGCACGTTTACAAATAAAGGTAACAAATTAGATTTGTAAGTCTTTGTTTTTATTAAATAAGCTGTTCTAAGGGGAATTTTTTTGTTGTGTGGCAGCTACCATTTGTCATGTTAACTGTGGGCACCTTAGTGTCTTGCTGGCCATGCTGTCCAGTGTATGTGAGGATTGCAGATGTATTTCAACACGAGTAATTTGTCAGTACAAGAAGATATCATTCCAGCAAAGACAAACAAGTTCAGGAGACAGGACAGTCTCCTTCTTTCTCTTTTCTGCTTCCAATGCAAATTATACTGATACAACTTCACAAGTAGTATTATTTAACTCAGCTTTTGGAGGGGTTTTTGGGGTTAGTTTGTTCAGACAGTGCAAGAGTAACAGAAACAGTTATATAAAAGAATTTCAGTAAAATAGAAATACTTTAATGTCAGAGGCTGGTAGTCAATGGGTACATACTGTATTTGAAGAAGAGATTATTGGGGAAGAGAGGTTGGGAATGAAAGGTGATTTGGACCTTTTAATTTCTTTGGGGAAAAGATTAAACAAGTGATATAATTCTCACTACAGAAAGCAGTTTAATCAATGATGATGTTAGGTCCTAATCATAACACAGACTGTTGAAAATTAAGAAGCAAAGAATCTCAATTATCTATAGCTCCTTCATCTGAAGCTCCTGTTCCAACGAAGTGGAGTTTATCTAAACCAGAAGGATTATAATTTGGTTTTGCGGGGGTCTTTCTAGATGAACTCCACTGGACAACAGTTTTCCACAGACATGCCAAGAAAAGGTTAAGAGATTTAGCAGGTGAATTAACTACAGCTGCCTATGTCACCGCAGCTGAGCAAACTGCAGGACTTTGCACCAATGCAAAGGTGTACAGTAACCCTACACCCCTCTAAATCAGAAGTAGAATCTCATAGACTGCTATACAGCAGTGGAGGAGTCATTCTGTATATGTGTTTATTTTTAGTACTTTTTTTCCCTAAGCATATGGCAGCAGTTATCAAGTATTACTTCAGCAGTTCAAAGCCCTGCCTGGTGGGTTAGTTGGACCTTGGGTCTATGCAACATCTCACTTTTTTTTTTTGCCTTTGTGTCCCAGCTCCAAATAATCAAAAAATCCTTTTTTACTGTCAGCATTCATCTAGCATTTGTGGTTTTGTACAGCGCATAATTTGGGAAAGAGTATCAAAGTTTCTAGAATGTGGGTATTTCTGCAAGAAAATGCAGCAGCTGTCTGGTGTGCGAACTCTGGCTGTTGTCAGGGTGACTGTGCCACTTTGCCTTTTCTTATTGAGTAGAGCAAAAAAGGCCGGGCAAACCTGTCCACTGGATGCTGCATTTTGAAATATTACAGCTTTCAAAGGTTCAGCAGTATGATTTCAGTGAAGAAAAATGCTGATTATTTTATTCTGAATTCTGATGTGTATAGTCATTTTTCCCTTTGTTCTTTAAGGGGAAGTGTGCTTTGTCTTGTTAAGATGTTTTGCATATTGGTGTGCTCTTCATTAATCTAGGAAATGTATTAACCTTCTTTTTGCTCATATTTTTAATTACCTTTTCAATTATGGTTTTCAATTACCATTAGGGATCCCTAATTTTGTATGAGAGAGAATTGTGCTAGGCACTTTACACCCACAGAAGAGACCTTTACCTGAAGTACTTAATACCAATATATAAAGACCATAGGTGGCATATGGATACAGACAGTTGGAATCACAAAGAAATAATTAATTAGTGTTGGCTGGCACAATAAGCAACAGTCTCTGTACATCATCATTTTAATTATCTTCTGATTGCTTTGAGATATGTGTTTCAGGGATGATTTTCGACCAGGGAGGAGGAGTTTTGATGGGGGCTGCTTATTACCTCCTCTTCATAATCTTTGCCTTTATGATAATAGCTCTTCAGAAAGACCCAAACCAGAAGTGGGCATTTTGAAGAAAGACTTTTGTGATTTGTAACATTCACAAAGGATGAGAGGAAATGGCCTCAAATTGCACCAGGGGAAGTTTTATGTTAGATATTAGGAAAAATTTCTTCACTGAATTGTGGTCAGGCATTGGAACAGGCTGTCCAGGGAAGTGGTGGGGTCACCATCCCTGGAAATATTCAAAAGACATGTGGATGTGGCACTTAGGGATATGATTTAGTGATGAACATGGCAGTGCTGGGTTAATGATTGGACACGATGATCTTAGAGATATTTTCCAATCTTAATGATTCTATGATTTTAAATATGGAATTTTACCCACTTTCTGGTTCTAAAAATTAAGCACAAGAAAGTTTGTTTTGGCAGATTTAAGATATGTGGGTTACTGAGCGTATTTCTTTTTAATAAATTTTCTGTTTGATATTCCGTTTCTATGCTAGTATAAATTCAGATCTCTGGTTTTGGATTTGGTCAATGTTTGGTCAGCAGTGTGTCAGTGTCATCTGCATCAGCTCCCTGGGCTGTGACCCTATGGGAAGTCCACACTATAGCAGGCTCCTGCCAGAACCTGCAGACTTTTGGAGAGAGGAACCCACACTGGGGCAGGTTTACTGACCACACTGCAGTAGTGGGTTCCTGAAGGATTGCACCCCATGAAAAGGGACCCATGTTGGAGCAGTTCATGAAGAACTGCAGCCTGTGGGAAGGACTCATGTTGGAGAAGTTCATGGAGGACTGTCTCCTGTGGGAGGGACCCCACACTGGAGCAGGGGAAGGACTCCTCTCCCTGAGGAGGAAGCAGTGGCAGAAAAAACGTGTTGAACTGACCGTAACCTTGAACTGACCATAACCGCCATTCCCCGTCTCTCTGTGCCACTGGAGGAGGCAGAGAATGGGGAATAAAGTTAAGCCCAGGAAGGAGGGAGGACTCAGGGAAAGGTGTTTCTAAGATTTTTTTTATTTCTCATTATCCTACTTTGATTTAGATTGGTAATAAATTCAGCTAATTTCCCAAAATCAAGACTGTTTTGCTCATGACAGTAATTGGTGACTGATCTCTCCCTATCCTTAACTCATAAAACTTTCATTATAATTTCTCTCCTCTGCCCAACTGAGGAGGGGAGTGACAGAGTGGCTTTTGTGGGTACCCAGTGTCCAGCCAGGGTCAAACCACCACAAGATGCCTTGTAACAACAGCATACAGAGAAATGGCTTCCTGTTACTTCTGTATAATTTCAAAATCTGTCTGTCTTCAATGAACTGTTAAAGATGATGAAAACTAACCAGAAGCAGGAAGAGGAGTGGGTTTGATTTGGGCTTTGAAAAGTCTGTCACAAATCTTAAATATCATAATATAGTTGCCTACTTTAATTTAGGTTTGTTCTAACTGATTCTGACCCAGGCACTGGTGGACTGGGTATTTTCTAAGTCTGTTTCTTCAAACAATGTAATTTAATGAGTGTGAGGATGTAATTATGTTCTTTTATTGCTATGCAAAGATATACTGTAGTCTGTATTGTTTCTTATTTCCATAGAGAACTGAGATGCTTTTACAATGGCTGGCAATGAGCTGTATTAAATACAATTGTAAAAACAATTTACAGTGGGCTTGGCAGCATTAATCTGTATTTCCAGAAGG